AGCTCACTCTATTTATTTCAAAGTACCCCATTTTCTAAGATCTCTAAGTATGTTGCTTTTGTTCGGTGATTTAGATTTGTTGTCTCGTGGCGCCTTTTAAATTGGATCCAGCTATTAGCAAAATGTACTCATTTTCCCTGAAGCCAGTCTCCTGTTTGCAGACCAAAAGGCTCAGTAAAGTCTAGCTTCCTTTCTGCTCTTAACAAAGGCATGGTTTAAATTACTTGTTTTCCAAATCTTACTGGTAGAGACCTCAGAAGTGAAATATTTATTTTTTTGTTTTATGATTGAGAACATGAGCAAACTTGATCATTGCAATGGAACATGGTGAAGCTTTCTATGAGGATGTTTTTTAGGCTTGTCTGGTTGTCAAGGGCAGGGATTCTGCCCTCTCAGGTGGGACCCCCCTGCAGAGCTGCTCCAGCCCTGGGAACAGCAGAAGGACATGGAGCTGCTGGAGAGAGTCCAGAGCAGGGCCAGCAAGGTGATCAGAGGGATGGAGCACCTCTGCTGTGAGGAAAGGCTGAGAGAATTGGGATTGTTCAGTCTGGAAAAGAGAAGGCTTTAAAGTGACCCAGTTGCAGCCTTTCAGTACCTGAAGGGAGCCTACAGGAAATATAGAGAGAGGCTTTTCACGGGGCCCTGGAGGGAGTGGACAAGGGGGAGTGGCTTCAAACTCAAAGGGAGCAGGTTTAGATTAGGTGTTTTTGGAAAAAAAATTCTTTAATGTGATGGTGGTGAGGCAGTGCAACAGGTTGGCCAGAGAAATTGTGGCTGCCCCATCCCTGGAAGTGTCCAAGGCCAGGTTGGACGGGGCTTGGAGCAACCTGGGCTGGTGGAAGGTGTCCCTGCCCATGGCAGGGGGTGGCACTGGATGAGCTTTAAGATCCCTTCCAACACAAGCCATTCTGTGATTGTGTGGCACAGGGGAGAATAATATGGATTAGGTAAAGGAATTTATCACCTGGGTCAGAAAAAATTAGTATCTCTTTCGTTTAAGATGTGTTGAAAATAGCTCAAAAATGTTGTTTCCCTGGTATGTGTGTCACTGGGAGCTTTTCTTTTGAAAGTCCAGCCATCCATGTGATGCCTTAGGTGGGTTTAGTCCATCAGCCTCAAGCACCATTTCCCAAAGGTCTTGGCCCAGGTTGCTGAAACAAGAGGACTGTCCTTAGAGATGGATTATTAGTATATTTTATGTAAGTATTTATTTCCCTTAACTAATCTCATGCAACAGCTTGTATTGTCTGAAAACAGACTAAGCATAATTTTGGTTTCCTGTAATCTTCCATAGCACTGTCAAAATACAGGTAATGTTTGAGTTACAAATAGTATTTGTATTAAAATGAAATTAAAAGATACTATGAGGCCCCTGGAGTTATTTGTATAAGATGCTGCTCCTAAATTTAGAGCTCTGCTATCTGGCAGCATCCTTTCCAAGAGGTTCTGTCTAGGTGCTAGCCAATATTTACATCTCAGTGTGGTTGATGTTTATGAAAATCAAATGTCGTTCTTGAGACAGTCACTGTCTCAGTGTCTCCTCACCACTGGACTGTGCCTCAGAAATGCACTACTGATATGAGGGGTGTCATGCAGAAATCACAGTAACAAACTTTATTTAGCTTACAGAAGCAGGGCAGGAGGAAAAAAACCCTATTTCCAAGCCATGAGGATCCATCCAGAAGGAGCCTGAGGTGTCAGCAGGCCCCCATCACCCCTGTGCCCCCCTGCTCCCCATCCTGGGCAGTGTCAGGCACGGGCTGGGAAGGACAGCTCCTGCAGGCTGAGGGAATAAATTGCCTTTCCAACTTTGGCCTGTGGGTCCTCGCAGCTGCCAAAGCAGTAAGAGTGTGTGTGGGTGGTTGGACAGTCGAAGGTGTTGCTTCAGATCCAGAAAAGTCCTGTGTGCTTTCTGCCAGCAATAACAGGATGGATTGCTGTGAATTGCTTTTCAGGTTTGGTTTGTTGTTCATGGTGCAAGCAGCCAAAGGGACATATGGTGTGCATCTCTGAGCCGTGCAGAACAGCTCAGAGAAACGTGCAGGGGGAAAACTGGGAGAGGACTGATGCAGTCTTATTCTTGCCACTGAGTATTCGCTCCTGGGAGGGAAAGAAAAGCCAAGAAGAGTACACACAGGATGCAGTCTGGTTAGCTCAGTCCTACCACAAGCTCCTTGGTTTTCAAAGTTTCCTTTTGAGGCTGTTTTGTCAGCAGTGCCTGCTCACATGACTCATTCATGGGCTGGGAGGATTTGGGGCCTGGGTCACTTTTCCCGCTCCGAGCATTGGACCAGACTCTGGGAATTGAATTATTTTTTTCCACACTACCATTATGTGACTAAAAGTCTGATGTTCATGGAATCAGCCTAGGGCGTGGAGTATCCTAGAAGAATTGCTTCTTTATGGTGCACTGGAGTATCTGGGGAATCAATGCCTTTGCTGTAGCTGAGGTTTGGGAACCGTGGCTGTCACGGGCAGGGGCAGGAGAGAACCAAGGTGTGAGTGCAGCCCACGTTATCCAGGGTACCCCCTACCCCTCCTGGGCTCCAACCAGCCCTGGTGCCTGTGCTCTCCTCCCTGAGGTCCCACACGAGCCGAGGGGGAGCCCCCGGGCTGACAGACCCCACGGTGCCACGGTTGGATTCTCCCCAGTTTGCCCTGCCACGGGAGCATCTGGGGCTTGGGGAGACAGGAGACAAACGTGTAATCTGAGGATAACAGACATGCTGCTTCTGTCCCAGCTGGCAGAGTGCCAGCACCTCGGATCTGGGAACGTGCCGGGGTTTGGGCCCGCCCTGGGAAAGAAAGGAAAAAAGGCAAAAGGGAGAAAGGAAAGCGTGTTCTGTCACAGACCTCACCCAGCAAATAAAGATTTTTCTCTTTAACTGTTTGAAAGGAGGTTGGCTGCCAAAGACAGAAGGAGGAGAGAACAGTTGAGGGAACAGGCACAGCTTAATTCCATGTTTTCCAAGGCCATTGGGATTCTGATGATCAGGCCATGACGTCAGTCAGTCATACATGACATTGGTGTGTGAGGAAGTGAGACCACAGGAGTGGCTTCACAGAGAGAACTTCTGTTCTGCTGTTGATGCAGCTACAAGGGCTGCACCACAAAATATGTTTTGGGGGCAAACTGGCTTGTGAGCCAGGTCCCCACTGCTTATCAAGAGTACTCAGAAATACAGGCCCCAAAGTCTTGTGACTCCTCCTTTAGGAGCAATAGATGTTTTAATAACTTCAGGGGAAAAACCAGCTCCACCAGGAGGTATGAAGAGAGCCCCATCCCAGAATACATTATAATCTGCTGTTGAAATATCCCCACTGAAGGCACAGTTTGAGATCTTGAGCAGCTGCAAAAGCTGGACTTGATTGCTCACCTCCTGGGTGAGTGCTGTAAGTGCTGGACCATGAGAAGAGAAGAGCAGTGATCACAGGAGGGGACCACAGTCCCTTTCTCCTCCTTACAGTTCTCCACATCACTTTGAGAATACATAAGGAATCCTGCTTGGGTTTTTTTTGTTTGGTTGGTTGGGTTTTTTTTTAATATATGGCAAAACATGCAAAATAAAATATATCTACAGTCTTATAAATGTGTTTATATTCTGTTTGGTTAACTCGCCCTACAGATTGGAGAGGTGTATGTTAAGTTTTGAGCCTGGATGGTTTTGTCCAGGCATGGAGCTCCTTGGTGCTGTGAGAAACACCCTGTCACAAAGCTGGATTGCCTGGGAAGAGTTTTACTGCTGGAACATTTAGTGTCTCCAGGGAGAAGCAGCAGCTGGGTCGGGCTTTGAAAGTCTACATTATGAATATGGGCATCTACTGCAAAGGGAGCTGAACCTTGGAAAGCTATTTCTTTTGTAAATTGAGCTCTGGTTCCACTAGCAGGAATCTTAACAGCTGTTATTCTGTCAGCAAAAAGCTTTAAGAGGCAGCAATTATTCCTTACCATGCACTGCACTGTAACTATTTGGTATCTTACATGCAGTGAGTGCAAAATCCACCCAGCCCCAAAACCCTGCAGCTTTTTGTTTTGTGTAAGGGGTTGGTGGAAAGACATATCAAGTACACAAAAAGGACTCTTCCACGACCTGTGAGCATTCATAATTCATCAATTATGCTACTAGAATTAACATGTAATTACATAAATCTTTGAAATTTTTTCCTGAGATGTAAAATTGCTAAGAACTAAGATGAAAATGAAATTATTTTCAAATACCTTATTTCCAAAAGCACGAGAATACTCTACTGTGCCTTTCCCCCCCTGCCTTTCTGGCTCCCATTCTCAATGTTAGCAGTAAATCTGTCATTCAGAAAAAGGTTCATGCTTATATCAGTTACTTGATATAAGCACAGTTTGGACTCAGTTTTGAAAAAAATATTAGAACTGCTAATGTTTTGTTCTTATCATGAAAGGTGATTATTATTAGGTGCCCTGACTTTTGAAAGGTTGTAAGAGCCAAGGCTGTTACAGAAGGATTGGGAGTTATTCCACCTGCCTGTTTTCCTTTTGTGTCAGTGCTGAACCACTAATGGAATATCAGATGTTGGTCTGGTCACTGCCCACAACTGGGCAAGCCTTGCTGGAGAGTGAGGTGACACTGACACTGCAAGGGTGGCTGAGAACAAAGTCAGAAATGTAAAGACAACAACATAAAGACACATATGGAATTCATGTTCATACTACTTAAACAAAAACATTTTTTCAGTTGTGATTTACCTGAAAATTTAATTTCAGAATGTCAGAGACTGTTTTTGTCCATGTGTATGTCCATGGTGGAACAGCCCAATGGCTTCTTAAATACAGATGGATGTTCTTAAATACAGATGGATGTTACCTTTACAAGGTGGTTAAAACCTGTTACTAGCAAAGATATGGTGGCAAAACTGTTTAGTTTAACTGAAAGCTCCCTGTTTTGTGGGTTTATATCTAACTCTTACCCTTTTGGCACGGATGTGATATTGGTACAGAATTATATTTATCACTTGTGTTCCCCCAGGTTCGTCATCGGTGGTGTGAGCTCGTCATTAAACACAAGTATGTGCCTGGGTATGGAGATGTGGAGAGATTTCTCAGAGAAGATCAGGTAAGTTACATTTAAATTAGCATTTGGAAAACAATCAACTTTTTAACACCCTTAATCTGAAACAAAAAAAAATATTTTAATATATTTTCTTGCTGCAGTTTGTCAAAAACTTGTCTGTGTGTTCAGTTTTTGCCTCTTCTGCCAGTTAAACATTGTAGTTTAAGGAAGCCACCCAGGGTAGGGGTCTGCAACCCCCCTGAGCATCCTAATCTTCTGTCAAGTGGTAAAATAGGATACAATCCATCTTCTTCTTTCCTTTCATGCAACCCACAGGTAGCAATGATGCTGGGAAGATCCTTCCCAGCACTGGTTCCTTTTGCAGGGTGGTGAAGGCAGGTCTGGCTGTGAATGCTGCCAGAAGATTCTGAAGGCCTTAGAAGGCTGGCCATGCATGATGTCCTTACAACAGCCTTTCATTTAGGCCATTGTGAACTTAAAATTCTAATTGTACCTCTGCCTTGTTCTTTCCATTTCAATTTTATTTGTTTTTATTCACTGTGAACTCTACAAAATTGAGACATTCTCTGCCTAGGATGAATGTTATTTATTTAAAATGTATGTAAAAAAAATACAAAATGGTGCAAGATATGTCAAAGTCTAGGCAAGATATTAATGTCTTTACCTTTTATGCTGACAATGAACAAAGCCATTTGCAGCCAATGAGGATTTTGTGCTTTCAGGCAATGCAGCACAATTGAATTATTGCAGTCTGGCCTGCTCTTTCTTCCAGCTCTGAAGTATACCACCTATTTATATCTCAGCCAATAAAAGGCCTCAGAGTTCTTGGCAAGCTCTTTATTAATAGAAGAAAAAAAAAAGACATAAACATTTTTTCACAAGGAGTTATAAATATTGTGCATATTTTTATTCTATGAAAGGATTGATAACCACCAGCAGAACCTGGAGGATGAGGGGCCAGGAAATCCTTGAGTTCTTAAAACCACACAGAATTGCATTATGTTTGAAATAGATATTTTGCCAAACAAAGACATTTTCCGCAGCGTAGGGAAATAATTTTTGCAACTTTTTAAATGTAATCTTCATTTCATTTACTTCAGCAGTGCATAGAGTTTATGGCACAACCAGTTTCTGGAGCGATTACCACTCAGAGCAGTTGCAGGACCTTTCTGATCATGAAAGGCAGCTTTTTGAAACATCTGGGCAAAAAAGCAAATGTGACTATTTAAACCCTCTTCAGGTCTACAAAACACCAGTTTGTTTACAGCATGTTAATATTTAGGCCTGGGGGGAAAATTATTAGCACTAGGTAGAGAAGGTAATTCCTATTTGGAAGGAAGTTCCAGCATTTTTAAACCCTCAGTGGAAGCAAGTGGAGCCTCTGCGAGGGCTCTGCCAGAGCCTGGTGCAACTGCAGACCCTGGAAATCTGAGTCCTTGGTTCTCTGTGTCAGAGAGCTCAGGGCATTGCCAAGGAGCCTGGCAGGTTTCTGCCACTCTGAGACTTTTTCCTTTCATTTCAGTCTTTGTTAAGCTTTAAATTTCCCTTCTTGTTGAAGCTGTTTTTTTTTAAGGCTTAGCAGCCAATGCTAGAAATTGTGTTAAATTGTGTTAAAAACTGTGTTTTCTCCGTGCTATCCAAATTTTTCCTACCCTGCAAGTCCAAACAATAACTGTGAAAGTCAGCATGCTAAGCTGCTAACATTTTGTTGCACGTGTAATCCTATTTTGGTAAGTGCAGCTTAAGACTCACTGAATTCCTGTAATTAGCTGAAAAATACTGTATCATCAGAAAAAAAAGGCAATCCCCAGAGTGTTTCCTGTTAAGTAGCCAGTGCTTTCCTGGCAGTGTCAGAGGGGCCCAGATCTCATGCTGAGGTGCCCCTGTACAATTTTTACAGCTTCTGTGTCCAGAATAAGTAGTTAGGAAGAGCCTGCCTTCTTACCAAATCAGGATTTATGCATGTTCAGCTGTATCTCAGGTGTAAAGGGGGGTGTGAAACACAGACCTGACCATGTTCAGTTGATGTCCAGTTACCAAATTGCCAAATGGGCATTTCAGAGTGGGCTGCCTCAGTCTTTGTTCATGGATGACTGTCTAAACATCCCAACTGGAAAGAAAATGTGTGTCCTGTTGAAGGAAAGGCAAGCTGTTTCCTTAAGGGACATTTGGAAACAAATCAGGTTGTGGATAAAAGAAAAAAGTATTCAACTTGAAGAGTGGCAAGGAAAGTGGAGTAAGAATTTTTTTTTTAAAGTAACATAGACCTCTTATATTAATAATCTGTTTTTACACACTTAACACAGCATATAGACAACCATCCTTAGGCTAAAAAGATCCAGGGAAAACTACTTCTTTTTGTGGGGAGGGTGGGTGTAACAGAGTATGTGGTATTTTCTGTGTTTTGGATTGTTTGTTTTGTTTCATTTACAGTTTAAATGAGTACTGGGAGGTCAGTGGAATGACTAACTGGTTGTTACTGGTAGTAGGATGCCTGTGTGTTATGTTCCTCTTTCAGGCTATGGGGGTGTATCTCTATGGTGAATTAATGGTGAATGAAGATGCAAAACAACAAGAACTTGCACGTAAATGCTTTGCTTCAGCACAAGAGCACATGGATGTGTCCTCAGCCAGAGTGGTGGCAGAGATGTTGTTCTGAAGAGGTGATTTTTCATTTTAATCTAAACACCCTGATTTTGCTTCATAAAGAAAGAACATGCAGAGCTCACTAAACTTTGGCATTCTGTGCTGCCTGTGGCTGCTCAGGTGGAGAAATAACTCTTGTTAAATATCTTGTTGGGTTTTTTCCTTTGTTTTAAGCCCAGCTGCAGGAGCAGTGAGTGACACACATGTAGGCACTGGCTGGAGAACGTGGCCTTGTTGTAGACCTTGTAATGGACTATACAAGAGGCAGCTGTAAGTCCAAAGGGCCAAGGAAGGCTCTGCCTGCAGTTGTTTCCCATTCTGCATTAACAGTGCTTACAGAAAGAAAAATTGCAGCTGTGCAAGGAGGATTTCTGTTTAATGGAGCTGTGTGTTTACTTGGTAGGCAGCACAGTCTTTGAATAGAGTCTGATCACAGTGGAAATATGAAGCTTTGGACTTGAAAGCAAATCTGAATGATTTGGGAGCAAGCTGATAATTCAAATGTTTTTTGTGTTAAGGGCAATGAGGCTTTTGAAGATTGATTATGAGGTAAGAAGAGTAGCCTTAACACGAAGAATCTGGCTTGTTTACCAAATTGGTGGGGAGAAATCACCAGAGAAGAAGCAGAATTGCAAAAAGTATTCATGGAATAGTTACTGTAGGGTATAAACTGTGAATTTGCAAAGGTGCTTCCCACTTCTCAGTCTGTTTGAGGAGTCAGAGGCAACCTTACAGTGTCCCACGTGCACGTTCAGCATGTAAGCAATTCAGAGTGGTAGGAAGGTTTCTTCCAGTGCAGCCACCTCAGATCTGTGATTTGTGGTGCAACTCACTCACCCAACAGACTGATTGCCTTGGTTGTTCATGTAACTTTATGGTTAATTTGTGGTATCAAAATTCAGGCATCTACTTTAGCAAAATCATCATCATCTAATTGGTACCAAGCAGAAATCTCAGTTTTCTCCTGTTCAAGCAGTATTTGACAGTGATTTCCACTTGATTCCTTGGGGTTTACTATATTTATATGAAATACAGCAAATGACAGGTTCTATGAAAGCAAGTGCAAGTTTGTTTATGAAAAGCCATGTCATTCTTCTGTATAGACAGGAACTGTGCCTGCCAAGAAAACTGTTTTGGGAAAGGTGGATCAGACTGTAGAGTGCCAGGATATCAGTTGTGGAGTAGGGGAGCCACCTTTTAAAACAGGTACAGCTCAGAGACTCTTGTGTACTCCCAGTTACCAAGGACTCACAGGAATCTGAGTTATGTTCAACAATTCCTAATCTGTGAGATGTCTTCTAGTGAAGGCCACCTTCTGAAGGCCAGAAACACGGAGATGCAGTTTGTTCTGGTACTACTGTACTAGGAACTGACTTCTTATAGTTCCTTCAGTAATAAAATCAAAATTTCTACAAGCTTCTGATGGTAAGTACCTAGCACAGGACAATGCCATGGTGTGTATGTGTGAGCAACAGTCTAGAATTGCCCCTTTGGCTTTCCAGGCAGACTAGGAGTGTGTGATGAGCTGTGACATAAAGATACTGAGTGCAATACTCTGTGTGACTGCTCCATTTCCTTTCAATGTTGTGGCTGTTTGGGTTCCTGGCATGATGATTTGTGATTTAAGATTAAAATCACATTGCCAGGGATTACCACAGAGCCATGACCGCAGCTGCCAGCATGAAATCACCATAACTGAGCCGTGCACAGCGTGGAACCCTCTCCAGCCGTGAGACAAAACCAAACCAAAAAAAAAAACCAAACCAAAAAAGAGGAAAGCAGCAGAGCACCACAGAAGACCCTCCTCTGAAAATGATCTCTGCCGAGACGGAGACCTCTCTGTGGAGGTGCAGAGCTTAGCTGATTGGTGAACAGTGATTGTTGCCCTCTTTGTTCACAGTGGCTAAGTTCTGCACCTGAGGAGAAAGGAGAGGAGACTCTGTGCAGGGCAGAGAGCGTTTGCTGGCTGAGATACCTTGCTGCTGGATGGGTAGATTTGGAGTGAATGTATGTGTGTGAGGTTCAGTACATGGGGGACGAGAGGCAGAGGTGACTTAGGGAGGACCAAAGACTTTTAGTTGAGAATAAACAGCACTCCTGAAGTTCTCAGTCTGACTGCAAGCGTGAGGTGTTGCCCACAGTAATTTGGTTTCCATGCTTCCCCAAAGGTCAGAGGAAATACTGTCTGTGATTTTAAGCTGAAATTGTCAATAAAGCTTTGTTTTATAGTCTCCTCTGTAACGGATGCTGTCCTGCTCTCTCTGCAGCTGTAGTTTAGCTCTGTGTGTCATTGCAGGAAACGGTGGCAGCTCCAGTCGGGACCCACTGACGGTGCTGCTGCTCCAGGCTGTGGATGGACCCGTCCTCCGGTGCCTACTGAGCTGATATCAGTTCTGATTTTACACACTGGCTCAGTTCAGCAGGAACAGGAGTCGAGCCCGAGAGCAAAAAAAGCTGTACCTTTTCTAGGAGCCGTTGGGAAATGTTGTTGCCGTTTTCTCTCCCAAAATGACCCGTTGTACATTGTGATGTCCTGATGGTAAACACTGAATGGCCTCAGGTGGAGAAGCTGCCTCAGTACTGTTGAGAGAACTGTGTGTGGTTATGTAGCACATCACACAGGACTGCTCTGGGAACTTGCCTCCAACATTATGTTCAGAGCAACCTGCTAATCAGCAGGAGAATGTGCTTCCACCATGAACCCTCCCCGTCCTCCCCAGCCCCTGTGGTAGCTCAAGGACTCTGCAGAGAACAGCAGTTCTGAACTCTGCAGCCACAGTTACGCTCTGCTGGTAACCTGGAAAACAACTCCTCTTGGAAAGCTGGGGCAGTCAAGAATGCACAGATATTCCTGTACCGTGGCAGAGTAATAACTTTAAATGCTGTTTCCGTTGCAGGAATGATCACAGAGAAACTCTTTTAATAGATGTGCTCCTAAACCCCGATGGTACTGGGATTTCACTGACCCGGAACATCAAAGGAAGGATTATGTGACTGCTCAAACAATCAGTTGACAGAAATATTTACCTTTCTGTGTTTCCAGAGGCTCACTGTAACTGAGACCACATGCACACAAAACAAACTGCACACACACGTGTTACTCTGGCTTCAGGTGATTCTTTGATTCAAGACATTTGGGGTTTGTCCTTGGTCTTTGATAACACAACCATTCCAGTTTGAACATACCAAGGGCTCTTGATTTGAACAATTTATGCACTGCAGTTATTTAGAGGTTCTGAAATTTGATTAAACTGTATTGAATACTTCAAATTTTGTTTGTAACTTCTTTGTCATATTAAAAAATGCCTCACATAAAATTAGCAGGAGCTGGGATGGGACTTGGGAAATTAATTAGAAGCATAATTAATCTGTGGAAAGTGACCTACCATCATCCTGGTGAAGTGATGGGACTGAAAGAAAAACAAAGATCAGCATTTTCTCTCTGTGATGTTTAGGTTAAATTTTACCAGAAATGCCAGCCCTGTTTTCTGAAAGTGTCTTTTATACCCCTGTGCTGCTCCTTTTGCACAGTGATATTTCAATTGTAGCTCTTCTTTCCTGGTCAGTGGAGCACTACACTTCTAGAAGACGTTTTAATTGGTCCTTTCAGAGAGTAAGAATTTAAAACACAAAAATCTGTGAACATATTTCTTTTGTACTCTCTTGTGTTACATAAAATGATCTAGTAAAAATAAATATTTTTTTTCAAGTATGTCTAGTTCTTTCCATTGCAACATTCATTCACAAACTTGGGAGAAAGAATGACTCCATTCCTGCTTTTGCAGCAGGAGAAAAGCAGCTGAAAGATGTTAGTTAGTGGATATTAACAAGAAAAATTAAATGTGGTAACTTCTTTTACATTTTTGTTCTCAGCATCTGAAGTAAGAGCCTGCCTCAACAGTGACTTCAGGACAAAGAGTACAGTTCCTTTTCACCTCACCACATTTCCTGACCTCTCCCTTTCCAGGCTTACAGTGTCAAAACCTGAGTGATGAATGGGACACTCAGCGAGTTCTTTCGAGTGCAGCAAGAGTGAGGAAATTGTCCAAGAAGGGCCCAGACACCACAGTGACTTCTGTGGTCACACTCAGAGATGGAGCTCTGACAGGAGCCCATTCAGAAAAGAGTTCTGCCTCATTTCACAGGTTTTCCTGCAGAGGCCACCAGCTTGCTTTTTGCCTTTTCCATTGTGTAAGGGAAAAAACCCAGAGCTGGATAAGACTCTTGCATAAGACACACAGAAATTAAAAACACTGCAAGCCTCTTCACGGGCACTCCTGTTAAAACTATAGAGCGAGTAAGGCACTCCTCACCTCTGCAAGTATCACCACATTTTGGTTCTTTCAAAACAAGCTGCTTGCATTTTTTGTTATTGTTGAGCACAGCACAGTTCGTTCTGTTTGCTGCAGCTGTCCCAGTCTGTCTCAGCAGCATTAACTTGAACATTTCCCTCACTACAAACTTTGTGATCCATCATTCATGGCAGCAACTGAGAAAATGAACAGAAACTAAAACATTAACACCAAACGACCTAAAAAATGGCAAAGAGGTGGCAATCCTGGCCCTTTATCAGGTCTTATAGGGCCATTTGTTGCTAATCAAACGATTGTGAAATACAGTGAGGCTCCAGATTAGGAAAAAACCTAAAGGCAGCATTGAATAGTTCTGTGACCATAACTCATCATGAGTAAGAGCTAATAGGAGATTCATGTATGTATTATATAGCAGGGTCATTATCATGATACAAGCATTCTCTTAGTTTAAAATCCTTCTGAATCATGAAAAAAGCACTGGAAGTGAGCCACAGACTGTCATTTAATTATTTGAGTTTTTAATAGGCACCATTGAAAGCTTAGCAGAAAAAAAACAACAGTGTTATTCATCTTACTCAAGACTCTCTCCAGGTGGGTGTTTCTGTGTTATTTTCCTGAGCTGTAGGGGCTCTAATTGTAGTAAATAAGTGAACAGCAACAACAACAACAAAACATTTCCAAACTTACGGTAACTAAAATCATTATTGAAAAACATGTTTTGTGAAATGATCCCTCCATCCGGGAATCAAATTCAGTGATCCTTGTGGGTCCCTTCCAACTCAGTGTATTTTATGATTCTGCAATCCAGAGCTGACTGTCCACACGCTGAAATCCAATGGAACTGCACAGTTGTTGTTTGTTCTTAAGCACAGTCAGGCTTTTGGGGCAAGTGGCAGAAATGTAAGAACCTTAAATGGGCATTTGGAGGGGAACACTAAGACCTGAAGTCTGGTGTGTGTTGCCATGTCAGTGTGTGTGGCTGTGACAAACAGACACCCCCAGAGGTGGCTTCTGCCCCACTCAGCTTTCATTCTACCTGTTTCATGGTCAGCCCTCTCTGAATAAAACACACCATTTTGTAAGGGTGGGTTTTTAAGGGTAATGCCCATCCCTAATTCAGTCCTCTCCAAGCACAGTGGCAGTTCTGCTCTGAATGGCACCAGGAAGCCCAGTGCAGAAGGCTGGACTGTCTCCCACTTATCCCATCAGGGCAGCATCTGTTTGGGATCTGGGGGATTCTTTTCTGGACGTAGCTTTTAACTGTAAAAATGAATGTCAGATGAAATAAAAACTGTACTCATACAGTTAGGCAAGGGCCACCATCTATTTTCCTCTGCCACTTACTGGGTCACTTCTTCAGATGAAAGGCAGAGCACAGCAAGGGGTGACCTGGCAGTGCCTTGGCCCCGCAGAGGACACGAGTTCCTGGTCACACACGTTCTCTGCCAAGCCCAGAGTGACACATCCACTCTGCTGACAGCTTTGTTTGCTCGCTGCAGCTTTGCTGGGAGGTGTTTGCAGCTGCTGCTGTCTCTGTGCTTTCTCCTTTAGGAGGGAATTAGCTGTACCCTGTTGTCCATTCCTCACACACAGGAGGGAAGGGAAAAGGTCTGGAAGCAAATCTGGCCAGAAATGCAAACTGAGTGAGTGGGCAGCCTGAGGAAACAAGAAGGCCTAAGGAGCCTAAAGAAAACCCTATTCCACAACATTCTTCATATCTAAATGCAAATTAATACATCTTGTAGTCTTTATAATGAATCTTGTGGTCTTTTAAAGCTGTAAAATATCTAGAATTCATGAGTCATGTTTGATGTCTTCCATAACAGGAAAAGATTTTAACAGACACCTGAGTGTCTTTCTGTTCTTGCCCCCAATCTTTGATGCCCAGATTAGTAGTAAAATAAATAAATAAATAAAAATAATGAATTGCAAGAAAGGACAATGAAGCAACTAAATAGAGGGGCCTGACTCATCTAGAATTTAATCACAAGTATACTCAGTTTAGGCACATATACAAAATACTGAAGTGAACATATACACTGCCATGGATATGTTCCTTTGTTTCTGTGGGCACAATATGCTGGAAGAATTATTTTAAAACTTACCCTGCTGCCAGGCTGACATTTTATGTCACTGAAATATGCCAGTGCATAAAGAAATTGAGACATCTGTACACTGCTTGGGAGATTAACTTCATTTGTGTGCTTGCTGTGGCTTGAACTGAGTGCATATTTTCTGCACAAAATTAAGGCCCTGATTCCTGGTGCTGATAGCTGCCAGCACAGGCATTTGCTGTTACCTGGAAGCATGCAGAAACTGCAGTTGTGCAAAGATTTGCTTTTGCATGATAATTTATACATCAGGACACAGAACTTCATTTTCAGCTGAGCACTGCAGTGTGTTAGCACAGTGCCCCAACAGCACTCCCAGGCACAAGCCTGGTTTTCTTTTTGCCCCACTGTGGCCGTGCCAGCTCTGCTGGGTTTGGCACACTCTGGGCAGCAGCTGAACATCACTGCAGCCTTTGCTTAACGCAGCTCGCTTCAGTCAGCTCTGAAAATTGCCACGTCTGGCTGCTCCAGGCTGTTCCTCTGGGCCTGCTGGGACCTGTGTCTGGGACTGTGTCTGGGACCTGTGTCTCTCCTGACACTCACTCAGGGACATTTCATGGTGGCTGCTTTGCCACTGTCACTGTCCCCAGCCCTCCTGACTCCCTCTGAACAGGCTGCTTTGAGAAGCTGCTGTTTGGCACCATAACGTATTTCACTTCATCTTTAATCCTGAAGGGACAGTGGTCATCACCTGCCACACAGAAAAAAAATTTTTTTGTTTGTTTGGTTTTTTGTTTTGGTTTGGTTTTTGTTTGTTTGTTTGTTGTTGTTTGGTTTTTTGTTTGTTTTTGTTTTGTTTTTTGTTTTTTAACCTCAGGTTGTTACATCACAGCAACGTCCAACTTTGTTTGGCAGTTGTCTTGTATCTGGTAGTAAGAGTTATTTGCTTTACAACTGTACCCCCTTACAGCCAACTCTTGCAAATACAACAAAACTCAAAATTACAATTCGTCAGCAACCATCTCACTCCAGTCTGCACCTGTCTCTCGCTGTGCCCCAAACTCACCCCTTTAACTGCCAAACAGGGCCAATCACAGTTCATTCCTATTTACTCAATTTCCCACCTGAAAAGCACTATTACTTTTTCTTGTTCCCTAATTGCAGGGAACCTCACTGCCCCTCATTCTGCCTTTCACATGCCCCTTCAGCCAGCATTTCCCTACATGTCCCACAGCCATGGCATCCTCCTCCATTCCTCTTCCCAGATGTGGCAGGGCAATATCACTCCACAATCCATCAAGATTTTGTCATTGCCACCACTCGAGCTGAAACTGCCCATCATTATCATCTCTTATTCCTTTTGACTATACAAAGGCTTTTTAATAAGCTCCTAATTTTAGTTGAGGGAAAAAATTGTCTGTCTTTGCTTGAATATAAAAAAGATGCAACTACATGACATAAATGCTGAACTCTTTCCTTCTTTGCATGAGGAGTCAGAGGAATAATCACGAGATTGTCAGTTTTATGCACAAACAAGAAAGCCCATCTATGACATTTCATGGTTCCTACACACACCTACCCCGAGCATTTTTGCCTCTCCTTTCTTCAGTCAAATCCCAGGAATAACAAGTTTCCCACTTGAGAGCTCGGAGGAAAGAATGGGAATGGGGAATCAGTCACACTAAGAAAATAGTAAGACCAGTCTTTTTTAGTTCTGAGGGTATCTGATTCTCTTTTACCATTATGAAGCAATGCCAGCATCAGTTGAAGGACAGATGTGACGCTGAGAAAAGCTCCACACAACAGAACGAAGGTAAATGCTGAAATTGGTGTATTTTTAGCATTATATTTTTGCATCAAGAGCTTTCAGCGTCAAAACCACAGGCTTATAACATGCAAAACCCCAAATCACCAAAAATTATACCCCTCCCTGTCTTGAAATACAGCTGTTACAGACTGTGGTTTCTGGTTGTTTCAGAGGTGGTGAGGACCCACTGCCCCCAGGGCAGTCAGGAAGGAGGAGCTTGCTCTGTGAATGTCTGAAAAAATCAGAGCTAAACTGTCTTTCAGATTCACAAAAGAAAACTGAATTGACAGGAAAACCATGGAAGTGGCACCACAACAGGATGTCACACGGGAATCCTTTTCATATTTTCTTTAAATAGATGTGGATTGCCGGACTCTGCAATGCATTTGGAAGAACTGTCCCAAAACAGAGTTAAAGTTTAAGTGGTGGACAATTACTGGCCTGTTCAAATGCATGATTTTTGAAGCAGAGAGGAGACAGCATCAATACCAAACTCTCCTCTTTCATTTCTCTATGATAACAATTACTTTTGCCAAATCTGAAGAAATCAGAGCAGAGAACAGCTGATTTACAGACTGCATGGTTAGATATAAGTATATGAGTGAAGGATCTCAGGAGAAAAAACAGATATTCAGCCCATGTGTGATTTTACATTCAAGTTCTTCAACTTCATTCTACAATGTTTATGTAAGTTCAGGGTATTCCATTCTAAAAATATAACCACCAACAACAAAAAAGATAAAGTGACTAGATCTACCATTTGACCATTCATCTTGGATCCTGGGCAGAAAGGAAGAGAAGGAAAAAAAAGGCAGTGGTTCTGCCTGAAGAGTAACCATGTCTGAGAGCTTCCTCTGCCAATACAGCGAGCAAAGAAATCAAGATCAGAAAAACTATGATGAAAAATAGTCAGCAGCTATCATCTGAAACCTTTAAATCCCAACAGAATTATCTTTCCAAAATTACAGCTCAACTGCAAGGTTTGGGCTTGCTCAGTGTCCACCCATGGCCTGGGTCAAGCCAGTCAGAGAAAGCAACTGCAGCAGTTCAGTGTGTCCTGGGGGGTGTGTGGAGCAGTTATTGCTGAGCACTGACCACTGTGTTCTGGCAGAGAAGCACAAAAGAAAGGAAGGTTGAAACTATCCTGTGAAACTGTTCTGTGGGTTTTGCAATGCATTTGAAGAAGAAAATCAGTGGCTTATAGAGACAAGATTTGTCCTTCTGTCACGTCTCCAGAAAAGACACCAATGGTTCTGCCTACTGGGAATCCACAAAGTGCCTGAACTCACAGACACACGTCATGGCCACATTCCAAGGCCTCACTCCTTCTCCATGGAATGTGATACTGGCTTTTCTCTCTCTGTTCACAGGCATCTGAAGCTGATGTGGAAGTGCAGCACAGTCATGAGATTAAAAGCACTTAAAACACTTACTGGTGGCTTCTACAGGGAACGAGAGTACACAGGGGAAATTGTACCTTCAAGCTACCATTACAAGTTGGCTTGAAATAAAAAAGCTGAAGTCCTGTTTTCAGAAAACTTATACACAGCAGAAGTCATGGCATCATCAGTCAAAACCAACAAAAGCTGCTTTCTCATATGTGACATATTAATGGAACTTCTAACAGTAGCAGGCACCTGACATATTGCAAGAACCTGTTTTGGAAGCCTCAAAATAAACCCACAAGCCAAGAAATAAAATCAAAGCATCAAGGAGTGAGTAAACTGTACATACAGGCTAACTGGCACATACCCATGGGAAATCTCAAGCACAGTGTATGTCAGTATGTTTGGTCAAGAATATGTAAAAACATCATCTCTTCAAGATGCATCTGCACAAGTTGATGGGCCTAACAGATATTTTTATGGAAAAGGATAGAAAAGAGAGGGTCATTGTTCCTGTCATCTGACCTAATCTCAGAGGGGAAAAAGAGTTCTAGCACAGAAGCCAGTGGGGCTCAGTGACAGAGCTTTAAACTATCTTGGCTGGGGGAAAGGGACAAAATTTGTATCACAAGGAAAAATTGTATCACAAACTTGCCAGAGGAGTGGATTTAAGCAGTATGAATACTGCTATGAATTTAGTGTGGCATGCCTCCAGCACTACAGTGGTTTGCTGGTGTTGCCCAGCAAAACATGTAGGTTGCATAACAAAGTCATTGCAGACTGTTGGGGAAGTATAAAAACATGGATGCAAACACGTGCTCAGTGTTCTCATGGAGGACTCCTCCCAAAACAATCCAGGTTCTGACTTTTCAAACGTGGGTCTAGTAGGAAACTACATTTCCATGTTACAAATTATCACCTTTCTACACACTTCTTATATCACAAGAAAAACTGCATTTTAATTAGCATGGCATTTTTAGCATGAATTACTCATTCACTTACTACTTATTCACACAGAACATAAGTATTTTATTGTGTTGTTAGATAATAGAACAAAAAAATGGAGTAAACCTGGTTTAGCAGTGTTTGTTTAATAATTGCAAGTAATTTTTGCTAGATGTTTTATCCTAAACTTGTGTAATGCTAATTTTGTATTGTACCCCTGCCAAGCCCAACACACCACACTGGCATGGATTTCAGCTTACCAAAACCAACATTATCTCACCTGCATCTTCAGTCTGTTTATTAACACCTCTTTGCACTTACAATGCTGTGGGTACAGAAACTTAATCACAAACCCTAGAAGTAACAGATTACCACGTTACTGCTGGTCAGCTAAACTGCAGTATCTAACAAGATACCTGTTCCCATCATACATCACAAAATAAAATGTGTTCTGCTTTGTACTGGCACTGCACTGAGATATGGATTAAGTGACAGCCATAGACAGGGTCTTTTTTTTTTTCCCCTCCTGAGGAAAACCCACAGAAATCACCTGGCCCCACGCTGGAAAGCTTGCAGAATTCAAAAAGCTGTAACTCAGCAGCCTTAGACTGGAAAGAAGCATAATTAACAAGGAAGAAAAATGCACTGTCTCTGTTCCTACCCAAAGCAATGCCTTGGAGCAGAAGGGTTTTGAACATTCTCTGTGCTCAGTGCACATCCACAACCAGGGTGTGACCTGGAGACAGAAGGCAGGGAACGAGCCACTGGGAGCCTGATTTCAGAACTCCTTGGCTGGTTCAGCATAAAAGTACAACCCTGAGGGCTCCAAAGGACATTTCCAGAAAGCAGCAGTTACAGAGGAGAAGATGCACGTTGGGTGGGCAACGCAGGAGCCACGACATGAGAAATCCTCCATCGCTCACATCCACCAAATCCCCGCTGCCTTCCACTGCCAAACTGGAAAAAGGAGATTCAACATCCCACAAAATCACAGCCTCCGTCAAAGTCAGATCATAATTCAAGCACTGTGAAAGAGCAAGGAAAAAGAAATGCCAAAGATTTACAACAGCTATGCTAAATAGAGCAAGAGGAATGCCAGCACACATGTATCTGTTTTAAGTTACAGACAGCATCAATTAGGTTTCTTCCTTAAAAGCCTCCTGAAACGAGCAAACTCTCCTTATAATATTTAAATCATGCAGTATTTCTTAAGAAGCCAAACACAGGAAAATGAGAATGCACCAATTCACTGCTAATTTTGGGTTTTTACTGCATTCACTGCACATTTCCTTCCTCTTGAATTGACTTATCCCTATTTATCAGGATATTGATTTTTATATAAGAATGTTAGAATAATTTTTATGCATTTTTTTGGTGGAAAAATGGTGTGAAAAGACACAAAAATTCCCCTCCAAAAGGTGTAATACACATCTAAATATAATACCCATATCATCCACCTAACTAAACTGCAAGAATCACATTTGCCAATCTTTCTAAGTAGTTAATATTACATATAGGCATACTATGGAGAAAAGATAACCAAAGAGCCCCACATCCAAGATTAGAAATTAAACAGGCAAAAGAAAAATCATTGTTCCTTTGGATTAAAATTTTAGGTTATTTATCATTCTGGGTTGAGACTCCACAAGTGTTTCCACCACACAAACACCTCAGAGTTTGTGATCAGCAAATAATTAACAGAATCCCATGCTTTTCAGGTGTGGTGTTCAGGGAACAGAAAACTTGAGTTGCTTGATTTTGCTTATTTAGATATGTATGGCTATGAAGAACAGAAAAATTGCAACGTATCCTTTCTGAATTTTCATTTTGAATGAAAGGGAAAAAAAAACCTTCCTTCACAGACACACGTTATGTATTTGCTTTTACTTCACTAGCAAACCCATTGAGAGGGCATGTAACTCCTGCAGGATGACTCACTAGGAACAAAACTGTAAGAAATCAGTCAACAGCATTACAGAAAATATCTTTCCACTTGTTACAGCCAAGGGACACTAAGTACATTGTTTTTTTTTCCCTTGCTCAAAAACAAATGTTACATTCAAAAAGCTGTATTGACTCAAGATACATGACTGATTTTATATGTGAGAACAGTATTCCAAGCAGCACCTTTGAACACAGCACAAGTTTTGGCACCAAACCCAAGTAACACATGAGAACAAATTACTGAGGAAAGTTATGATCCCCTGTTATTACTATTCTGCCTGCTTATTTTTCTGGTTAAGCTAGGAACAGGTTCACAAAACTTCTTGGGACAAATACTTCCCCCAAGGTAAAAAAGTAAGCCATTGCTCCCTGTCTGTGCTCTTTGTATGAGACAAAAAACCTAAACAAAGAAGGAAGCAAACCACCTCTGGACACAGAAATGAAGGCAATGATTTGCAACCATATGCTCCTTTTAGGAAATTTGGCCCTCAAACTGGAAAATGTCCTTATGTCTCTGCTGTGCCTGCCCTATTTTGTCTGAATAATAGAAAATATTCCTTGAATGACCAACAATACCATCAGTCATGGCACACTGTTCAGTGGGCTCTACAAGCAATCTTTACCTGCTCTGCTGACAAAGAGCAGCTATTGGAATAGCGCTTTGCAGTGAACACTCTCCTGTGGAAGCTGCAGCACTGAAAGAAACACATTTAGCAAATCTGGGAGAAGTTTCATGTTGGAAACATTTTCAGAAAGAAGGAAAGAGCTGAGGAAACATCCCTGACTTCCTGAGAACGTGGAGTACCTTCACCATGAATCATCTGAGACCAGTGTTGGTTTCATAAAAGCAGAATTATACAACAAAACATTTTAGGAACAACTTACCAATCAAGCAATTGGATATGGTTTGCTAAAAAAAAAACCCCCAGATCTGTGATTCGGGAGAAAAACTGATCCTCAGCCAGATAAACAACAAGGAGATGAGTGAACTGCTTTAACTGATGTAGGTCTCATGTTGCAGGAGGTGTTCAGAACAAAATTTTCAACCATCTTTAATATTTATTATCATGTTTCAAAAGATTAACATTTCCAAACAACAGACTATTTTAAAATATAGATGAGGGAATAGGAAATTAGGAGATACGCTTATGTATGTGTCTTTCTACCCTTGGTAACCTGCAGTGCAAGATGCTAATGGAATTCTGACAGTAACAAATAAAGACAGTTGAAGATCTGATTTGTTGGCCTGATAAATAGATGATATTAAAAATCTAAACTTTCAATGTAAGTTTTTGAAGGAGTTCATTCAGCAGCTTGACAGTCCTCTGGTTTCCTTCTCCAAGATGTTTCAGTCTGTGTGCAGTACGGATAAGAAGGCTGTAAACTTCCTTGCTTGTGTCAGTTGTCTCAGTAATCTGAAGGAAAACAGAGAAGATGGGAAATAATGCAATTATGTTGCTAAATACTAAGAATTCTCCATTAATATTTACAACAAAACCACGGATCTGTCCCTCACCACTGAACACATGAGAAGCAACTTCTGCCCAAGGTCTCTCTTTTCATTCACCTCAGTGGAACTGAGCAACTTTGAGATTTTCTACTGTTCCCTCAAGTTTAAGTGGAACAAATCAAGAGGTCAGAAACTATTTAAAGGAAAGAGAAATGGATAGTGTAACCATTTGTAAGTCATCTCCAGAGAAAACAACTAAAAGCACATGAAGGTTCTGCGTGTGTTTGGGGAGACAATTCAGTTCTGTAAAGCTTTCAAAAGTAAAAATAAATCCCTCCCCCCAAAGATGACAGAATACCAGGAAAAGATCCTAAGCTGCAATTTTTGCAGATCAGGAGGGACTTTATTCCTTGTTATTTGCTGTGTTAAACCTGAAGTTTACTGTGCTAACCAAAACCACAGCCATGCATCCCAAATTAGTTCAACACCATTCTGCCTTTCATATACTGCCTTCAGTCCTTCTCAAATCACATGGAGAGCCTAGTTACACATTAATGATTATACAGTCAGAATTAATTACACTAACAAACTCTGGCCTACAACAGCTCACAACCACCCTGCACTCAGTTTTGGAAGTTAGTTATGTTGCTTTCTATGAAGAAGCAAGAGATTGCCTTTGGTCTTTCTGAAGAGGTTTAAAGTAACAGGCTGGTACACGACAGCATCACAGCTCAGCAGCTGCACTACTCAAGAGAAACTAGAAATAGCAGACTGTAAATGTACATATCCCCCCCCCATTTTATCACTACATGCTTATGCTAAGAAAAAAGTTGCTCATTTTTAAACTTGCACCTAAAATGTGAGAATTATCATAGCCCTTCCTAAACAGAGAAATGTTTTGTCTGTTTACTCAGACAGCTGTATCATAAAATAGACATGCCATATACCCTATAAAGATAGAAGAGCACTCTGCTGCTGAAAGGAAAACCCTTTGGAAGTGTTAAAACTACACACTGGCCCTAGACGTGCTTGCATAGGAGTCGTGGACTTCTTAAAAGAATATGGTTTTATAGTTAGGAAAGAATTCTTAATCTCACACTGAGATAGCACTATCTTAAGAGACACAAACACATTTTGAAGTTTGCACCAATATTCCTGAAGGCTGCCATCAACAACAAGAAGATACTGTGGCAAGCTTCCAACCTTTTACTCCTCTTCAGCTTTTGTCACACCCTGAGAGACGCTGTCTGAGCTCTTTGTTCTTTCCTTCTCTCTCAGTTCCCACACTGTTCTCCTCACTGGCTTTGCTAAAGCACCAGGCTTCTCTCACAGCAGTGCTAACACCCAGTGACCACCTGCTCTACCTCGTGGAAAACAGGGAGAAGACAGTTTCATCATCTCTGCAGTAGCTGGATAATTTAGGGAGTGATTTGTAATTGGAGAAACAACATGTTTGCATATGCTACCTTGCTATATGTAAATGAACTGCAAGCTACTATTTCAACTATTTCTTCATCTGTATAGTCAGGACAGCAACCTTTTCAGTGAGATCTTATCAAGAAGTGAATGGCAAACATATTGACTGTAGCTGAGGTAGATTTGTAGCAGGTTGGGTACAGCTGCTGTAGTCACGGCCTCCTGTAATTCTCTGTGTTTTCTTTACTGAAAGGTAGAAACTTAAATCCAAAATAGTAAAATATATAACCTGAAAAAAAGAAAAAAGAGAAGAAACACTCACATGGTCAATACATTCCTGGGCAACCATATGTCCACCAGATGAAAAGAGCAAAAAGCTGGTCAGAAGATGTGTCATGAGGTGCTGGTTCCAGCACTGCTCTGTCTCCCTTATCCTGTGCACAGCAGCCTCCAGATCCCTGAGAGAAAGGTCTGTACAGCTGAAGAGCATCATTAGATGATTGTAGACTGCTTGAACTTCTACCTGTAGGAAATAATTCCAAAGGATGCAGGATCAGGGAAGAGTAAAGGTCAAATCTGTGGTATTTTTCTTTTGGATTTATTCACTAGAAGGAAACTGAATCCTTGGCAGAAACTACCCAAACATGAAAAGAGTTTGAATTTAGCTGGGAAAACAGGGAAGGAAGGGCTGTACACATTTCTTTTATACTGATTCACACACAGAGAGGTGGACAGAATGGGTTTTTTTATTTTCTTTGGTATTACAAATGAAGCAGACAGGCATCAAGCCAGGATTTTACCTTTTTTAATAATGTAAGGAAATGGAGAAAGTCCCTCAGCAGAACATGGTCAGATTTTTGCATTGTGGGAAAAAGAACAGAGGCTCCTCAAGGGCTCATTTCAGCATTGCTGCTATAAATCAATTAAATCCCCATGCAACCTGACCTCAGCTGATAAAATGTTCTGGTAAGAATGAAGTTTTTTCCTTCTTCCTGTGTTGTTTGCAACTTATGTTTTTATGTTGTGAGTTAGCCAATAAAACCTAATTTTTACTGAAAGTAGGAAACAGAAGATTTTGGCACCTACTTAATGGAAAAAAAACTATAAGCAACTACTGCAAAAAATCCTGACAACAATTCTGTTCACTGTATTAAAAATGAACCAAACAAACTTGTAGAACAAACACAAATGAGTGATTGCTGGAGCAATGGAAAAACACACCACTGCAGGCCCAAAGGAAAAGGACACCTGTTTCTCAACCATATTCATTGGGACAATTTGTTTCAGATATTGACCCACCCCTTTAATAATTTCACATCAAACAGTCTGAAAAAGCTGCTATTCTTGGATTAAGTCAGTGCACAATTACATGTGAGGCACAAATAACAGCAGAATCTACAGAAAGGTGACTGGAATTCAGGATTCTTTATCCCCCTGTTCATCCTATGTGCCAGGGACTGCAATGGATGGCAGAGCTCATGTACCCCAGGAGTCTCATTCTTAGTGCCAACCTCCAAGTATTGTTCCTTCAACATTTCAGAACCTAAAGTTATAAAAGGACTCCAGCAATTTCATTGAGAAGCTGAGTATTTAGTCCTGGATGAAGTCTAGTGAACAGCAGAAGCAGTTCCTGTGCCATCTTAATCCTTAACTGGTGAATGGGGCAGGGGTTCAGGTGAAAGAGCTGAGAGCTAACCTGCCAAAGGACAAATAAAAAGAAAAAGCAAACAGCTAACTATAGGCAGAGGCTTTGCCTCTGAAGTGGCCTGACCTATGGGGGAAAAAAAAAAGTCTTAGTTCAGGTACCTAAGAAAAGAATGATAATGAACTGAAATATCAGACCTGTGGGAAAAGATGAGTAACTGCCTGGGTTGTCAGTAGAACAGCTCCTTTCTCTCTAAAGTTTGTCATATTTTATGACAGAATAACAAACTGATAGAATAGGGGACACACAGGGAAATTATTTCCTATATGGGACAAAGGGATTTCGTTCTTTAGGGTTGGAGTTAGAACAATATTCCACACATTGATCTGCACCTGTAGTGCTTCAATTGCATCCACTCGTGTATTGCTTCCATGTTGCCTTCCTTCCCAAAACTGTGTTCTGAAGCCAATCCTGACTCCTTTACTTCACCAGAGCTCTAACAAAGCTCTGCTCAGCCAACACCCCAGCCCCCTAGACTATAAGAAACTCAGGAGAAAAACAATTTACAAGTGATTGATTGGGATGTGATCTTGTGTTTGTAGTGCCATCTGGGTGGTGAGAGGGGGGAGGAAAGGAAATAAAATATTGCATAATACACTGTTGTACATGGACCATTAGATGTAAAATTAAAACATATTTTACTAGTGTCGTGTACTGAGCTGCATTTTTAAATCAAACAGAGCCCATTTTCAAATTAAGGAAAACCAGAGAAGTTGCAGCCAGATTCTGAATCTGGGCTTTGTGGATTAGATTGCTTAGGCTAGATCAAACTTGCATAATAGGTTTAAATTAAAGGCTTTCATGTATTTGCATGCACACACAGACACACAGCATTCTCTGTGCAGTGCAGTGCATAAGGTTAGAACACTGTTCCTTCTGTCAGAAACACAGCACGTGGGAGTATTACCTACTTATTACATTATTGCACGTGACAAAAACCAGTAAGCATATGTAAGAGAAATCAGAATAGATAGGCAAGGTTAGGATTCAAGGCTGTGTCTGATAAGTATCTTTTCTGCTTCAGCTGCTGTGATTTCTTGTGTTTCCTTCTCAGCAGATGCCACAACACAGGAATGCTGGAATCTGCCACACTGATTCAAAAAATACCATCACCAGGGTAGTTTTACTTGTGGTTAAAAGCACCCAATTCATCCCAAAGAAAGCCAAGAAGGTGCTAATCTATATAACATACTTTCAAAAGAGGAATAATGTTTTCTAAATGTCACAAGAAAATTGAAAACCATTATCTTTCAACTTCTCCACTGCCACAATTCCCTGGAGACCTTGTAAAGTCAATACCTTTAATTTTTCTGGTGTGCACTATTTATTTTATAGCAATAAGATATACTCAGAGTACTGACTGCTCATTGCCACTTACTGTCCCTACATCACCCACCATTGTCTGAGTCCTTTGCTGGTTTTCATTCTGAGGACAGTAGTAAAATGCCAGCAGCCACAGCAAAGCACCTGGTTGTCCAGCAGCCTTCAGCAATTGTTCTGCTGCAACATCCAGCCATTCTCCAAAACGGGCAACCAAAAACCAGGTTTCAAAAAGGTCAGTGAGAGAACTGGAAAATAATGAAGATAAAATTAAGTATTTCTCATTATTTGACATTTTTAATTATCTTAAGTTAACTGCAAAGGGTGCTGCCAGTTGACTTTAAACAAGTCTTTAAACTCCTCTTCAACAGACAATTCACCTGCTTTGTAATATTTACTCTGAAGTCATGACTTACCTGAAGCTGTGTTCAAGTGAGACACACACAGATTAACTTTGGCAGCAGAACAGACTATCCACAACATCAGTTTCTAATAAACTGTGACAAAATACTATGTATGAAAATATATATAATAAAATTAAACCCTACTGTTTATACTTTCCAGTTGAAGGATTTTTTAAACTTTCAATCATATCTCAAGTATTACACTCTAACATACTTTTGCCTTCCACTTTCTCTCTGTTGCTTTCCAGGTTTATTTTCTGGTTTTTGGTAATTTATAGAGCACATTTTTTGTCATAATTCATGAGGAATTACCTTTGGATGGACTAAATATAAAGTTTTAAAGTATATTCATCTCCTGGCTCCTAAAATTCATGTCCTCTTTAATGAAAATTTTGAAGGTGTTTACAACAGGGTTATTGCTGTAAGAAAGGTGAGAATGGACTACCTCTCATCTCTACAGTTTCTCACATGCACTCCTCTAAAGTTAGAAAAGATTAAAGACAAGAGAAGTAATGGGGGATGCAAACTAATGGCAGGTGTCTGAAACAAAAAGTTAAACTACGTATGGAAGGACAAACAGAAGGACAGCTAAGAAATTAGGAACCAGGAACAATTATTCCTAAAAAAATTTTGCAAAACTTGGAATAGGAGTTTTTCTTATGTTTTATTCCTAGGGACTCCAAAACTGCTGTGCCACCTTTCCCAGGAAACTCTAAATGACCACAGAAATTTCAGGATTTAATGAAGTTGTCTGAGACCATCACATCATTTGGGGAACATGACAAGGTCATAGCTTTATCTTAACACTTTCCTGTACCATTACAGTGCCCGTTTTGGAGTCATGTACCCTCCCCTTCCCACCCCACTGCTGGTTCTGCCCACTCTGCACTGGTACCTGTGTCCCACTGTCGTTGCCAAAAGTGGCCCTTCACTTTTTCTGGACTTGCCCCTACAAAAGGTTCATGAGTTGATTTCTGGTTTAAAGCCATGTAACACTTACTGTTCACTGAGATGACTACATGTCATAATAAATCTGTTGATTAGAAGGACACAGAAAGCACTTTGATGTAAGATTCTTGCCCTGGACTCAGCACTGGTGAGGCCACCCCTGGAGTGCTGTGTCCAGTTCTGGGCCCTCAGCTCAGGAAGGACATTGAGGTCCTGGAGCAGGTCCAGAGAAGAGCA